CCACCTCCCGTCGCCGGCCACGCTGGAGAATGGTCTGGCGTCTGACGGCTTAGTAACAAGAGTCTGTACACATATATTCTTCGTATTTGTAGCATAGTAGTACCTCGCTAATCCGGACCCCGCGTACCCGAAATTGCAGATAATCCAAGAACAACTCGGAATGGAGGAAAAATAAAATAAATAAAATGCTTATTTGTAGTGTAGAGGTAGGATTTTAGAAATACTGGAGAATTGAACAACAAATTATTGCAACACAAGCTGTCGAGATGAAACGTTTATTGCACTGGTAAATACTGTGTGTGGCGTATATTACATTTTATGTAGCAGTAATTTTCACTTAGAGGAACTAGCAAAATCGGTAATCTTTAATCGTAAGGAACAGAAAATGCTTGATGATTTGATGCGATGATGCGATGGCTAGGCGACGTTGCCATTTTCTCACACCGCATGCTGCGTTGCATTGTCTGGTAATCTTATAGATGCATTTGTACATGTACGGTACATTTTTTCGGATAATCCGAACATTTCCGAATCCGAACAGACCACACCCCCAATTAGTTCGGATTACCGGGATTCTACTGTACATTCTTATGTTGTTTTGCATTTTATTACATTCATTTTCAATTAGTTCTTGCAGTGTAAACTCTCGAATTTCTATTTTTCGCACATAATTTCATTGTTAATGTTTCCATTATGTTATTCGGGCTTCAAAATATTAGACCATGAAATTGCTCTTGAGCGTTCACCTTCTGTGTCTTGGTTTTCGTCAGGTTTTCTGAGAGTAAATGCGGAGATAATCATGTTGTTGCTCTTGCACAGTACTAAATGTATTTCTTAACAACATTCATTTTAAAACATGTCTTTAATTATAGTATCAACATTATAGTGTGCGGTTTCCTTGCAATGTTTCGGTGTCTGTTACTGTGTGAAGGTGAGCAAACTCACTTTTGAGTTTGTCAAGACCAGAATGTGGCGTAGGGATGTCCTCGTGCTAACCACACGTACCCGTGGCCGCTTGGCCGGGTCGCTGCTGGAAGGCCCTGGCTCGTTAGTCCGCCAAGTATATACAGGCAGAACAAATGGGATAAATAGAGAGTCATTTTTAATTGGTCTGTTATTTATGGCGTCTTTGATCCAAAATATTAATATATACATTCATAAATGTGTTAACTATACGTATTTTGTATTGTAAGGCTTTGGGTCCTCAAATAAAAATTTCCATAAGAGCCCGGTCCTCCTGTTCTTCCCTTATCACACGCTTATGGTCCGGCGGCTGGAATGATAGAGCGTACCCTTATAGGCCGAAGTGTTGGTCGCAGAAATTATCGTGCGCATCTGCCGGTCGTTTTATCATGTTCCTCTGCACCTGATTCAAGTAAGTGGACGTCGATCGTCCGCGGTGTGTTGCCAGACCCCTCCCTACCGTGACGTCATCGCGGCGCGCCTTGTTTACCCGCGGAGGCGGGTGCCCCTGCCCCTGGCTGAGAGCCCACCTGGCCCCCACGGGGCGATGCCCCAGACGCGACGCGCTCCGCTCGGGGGACAGTGGGGCCTCGACGACCGCTCAGCCACTGAGCTCTCTGGAGCCTGCTCCGATCGGAAGTTTCCCGTGGTTTCTCCAATCAACACTACGTGAATGCCGGAGCAGTACCCTAACAAACGGGCCACGGCCCGCGTGAGGTCTTTCCTTCTCCTTCCAATCCTCACCCCTACTTACAAACACACACACACACACACACACTTAAACGCACTTATCTACACATGTTTTAATCAACAGTTTAGGAAATTAATTTAGGGTATTACTAAATAAATGAGGAACTTAACTGAGAATAGTAGGTGTAAGTAATATATTGTGAAGTGAGGTGTCGTGCAGTGTAGAACAGAGAAATAATGTAGGAAGTGATTAAAGGGTCATAGTGAAGTGCAGTTGAACAAAAATTCAGAATTTGATTATAGATTTTTTTGAGATAATTTAAATGTTTCATGAAGTAGACAGTTTTTATATCATTATTATTATTGTTATTAGATTATTTTTATTATTGTATTTATTATTGCATTTATTATTATTATTATTATTATTATATAATTTGCTGTATTGTCTAATTACTGTAATTAGCTGCTGCAGGGTTATGCCCATTTGCAGTGCAAATAAATTTATCTTACGTCGAGAGACCAGTTAGGTGTTTAGAGCTTGTCTGGGCTGGGGCGATTTCCCACTACGGAGATACCTGGTGGTTGAATTCCCCCGCACGCTGTCGTCTAGGTCGAAGCCGGATCTCACGTTCAAAAAAGTAATTTCTCTACTTACCGGGCTTCCCGAATTCCCCTACTTCTTTCTTTTAGCATGAACTACACGTCAAGGACTAATAATCAAAGCTGTCGACGAGCCTGCAAACTAAATCCAATTTTAGACTAATCTAATGCAGACACCAAATTTACCCGGATTCAACCTACCCAGAAACCTAATCTATTCCACAAGAATAAAAAATAAATATCCTTTCCACATATTTCTAAAGAAAGTTTTCGAAATGGACTCTAATTAGGGGTGACCATTCGATTTACTCAACCGCAATACTAGTTGCACTTTTAATTTTTGTTTAATTAGCAAGTCATCAAACATATGTTGAGTTACATGTAAACTATGTGGTACATATTATCAAAAGGAAAACAATAAACTAAATATAACCACTGCAGACCGCTCACTTAAGTTAACAAAGGAATTAAGCCTGTCGCAGGTTGCTTGGGCACATCGATAGTTGAATGATAAATTTTGAAAATAATTGGAGATATAATTCTAATTGTGACAATAGATTTTAAATACTTCCAAAATGCTTAGTAGTATGTGTAACATTGGGAATTTAGAGACCACTTGACACATTTGCGGATCACCAAAATTTCGAAGAATTTCCAAACCTGCGAATTTTTCTTTTTAATTAGATGTGTAGCTGTCAATGATTTGGTCATCATTAGAGTTTCTGCGTTAAAAAATTAGTTCTCGTAGGTAGAAATTAACCTGCACATTCTTAGAATGTTGCGATAAATTGCCGTATTTCAATCTATGCCCATATTAAGTTGTTCCGTCCATTTCTGATGAAAAGTGGGGGTCACAAAGAATTTTCGGGAACAGCCTTCTTATTTTACTCGTAGTGGAATTTCACGCAATACTGGTGACTATTTGTCTTGCGTCACGACTCTTTGTGGGGGTCAACTTAGAATATTCATACCTGTTTAATTCAGTTGCTTAGTGGTTCAAGGAAAAAACAGAAAGATTGCCTTTCTTCATGTCACAATTTCAATACGCCTGTCGTCAGGAGTTCACATTTTCTAATCGTTCTGAACGTTTCTCTCTTTTTTGTTTTAAATAAAATGAGAAGGAAATTGAATAAATTCTGCAAAAAAATAACATTCACTGTATCCTCGGTATAGCACAGGAAGTGTTAGATAAGCAATAACGTAGTAATGTCGATGGAAGTTTCTATCCGTTAATGTAGATGAAAAGTGACAGCCTTTATAGACGTGGTGAGAATTTGTCATTAGAAAATTACGCATCCGAATTTGTCGACTATTTCTCGCGGAAACATTACTACCGTTACATAGAAAAGTTCTTTTCCGTTTCAGTTACGTGATTTTGTAGGTTAGCTCCAGTAAAGTTGCTTCTCAGTGTCTGAAAATAATAATATGGTCGCAGATTTGGGGAATTAAAACATCTCCATACTCCAAGCATGCATTGGCGTATTTTAATACATCTTTCTCATTTCCAAATGTCGCTATTTTGATAGAATGAAATATATGCATATATAAGTCGCTTTTCTTATCTAATTTTATTTAATTTGTAGCTGTTTTTTATTTCTGAAGGTAAATACATAGATAGTTATTTAAACTTTACATGAAACCTTCAATGCATCTCCGATTTGGGGAAAACTTGACCCTTGGGGTAAAAGTTCCCAATTCCTGCCAGTCGTTTCGTCGAATTCCCTCGCTGAAATACCAAAGCGTCTGGCATTAAGCCACCAAGGAATTCGATGTGTGATATCTTACCTTGCGTGCTGCTCCGAAACTCGTGTGCGCTGTTTGCGGATGACGTCAACATCTGATTCGGATTTTCTCTCAAAGGGAGCGTCCCAGAATACATTTTGCATTGCAATTTCAATATTTCAAATCTAAAATTGAAAGAAAAATGAATTAACTTATTATTATTATTATTATTATTATTATTATTATTATTATTATTATTATTATTTCACCATACCGTTAAGGACAATGACCGTCTCGAGCAAATAAAGTATAAAGGTTGGTTAGGAACCTTAGACAAATTGTTCCTTTAAAATATTTGCTTAATGTCCACGTTATTTCTCATTACTTTTGCCACATCGTCTCGTCTGACTTTCTTATTGAATTGCGGCGGTGAATACATGGAGCCACCGCCAGATATTTCGTGTTAACAAATTTTATTTGTGCAATATGCATAACATATGGACATAACAATTATACACAAATGCCTTTTAAGCATAATACTTTTGCCGAGAATGACCATTTTCGGGCATTGGAAGTTTCCCGCTCCACAATAGTTAAGCAATTGTTGTGAATGATGTTCTTATTAAATGTTATTTATAATATTAAAAATCAATAATAATATTAATATTTATTTGGTTACACTTGGCTTATCAATAAAACAAACAAATTAAAAGATGAAGCAATAAAAAAACTACTAGTATTAATATATCAATAAAAGATGGGACCAAACAAGAAAGACCTACACAAATCTTTACAGTTCGAACAGTTACATTACAATTCAAAATTAATAATAACATAATAATATACGATACTCCTAATTTAGAATTATAGACTTTTGAGTTACCTAACTGCAAATTATAGTGTTTCCAGCCATGCAAGTGCGAATTATCAGGTTTCAAATATCCAGGCGCATACATTGTCTAGTTTTGGGACATCTAAGAAGGAATCGATTTCTATTATTCCAGGAGCAAATTATTCAGTTTTGAGATATTTAGGTGTGAATTATCGAGTTTCTAGATGTTAAAGTATGAATTTTTAAGCTTCGAAACTACAAGAAGTTTTTGTACGGCGAGTCGTTATAGCAATCTACAGCACTATCAATCTTCTGCGAATACGTTATTTCAGTGTCAGTTTACCTGCGAATGCATTGTAACACTTGTCTTAGCAGTGAACTCAATTCACAAACAATAATGTTCAGTGAAAATGATTCAAGGTTTATCTTTCGTCAATAGTACTATTTCCGATTTGTGAATAAAACAGATTACGATATTTTTGGTCAGTTTTGTTTTTAATTATTGGATATATAATTTGGTGTTGATTTTTATAGCAGCTACTTTGACGTATATTGACTATGTTACACACGATTGTTATCAATTTTTAAATTTAAAAGTTTAATAAATTATTACTTAAGGGTTAAGTTTTAAAGGCTTAATTTATGATGAATGAAAAGGTTAAAATATCCAATCTCAAAGTGTAATTCTTGACAGTAAAAAGATGAGTCTCATGAAGGTTTACCGGGAAACCCTACATACAAGCCAAGAAGAAGCAACTTTAACTGCAAGTGAGAAGGCTGTATTGGTTACTAGGACACCATTCAAAGAAATCCTTAGACAATAAACTGTTGATCTACAAAACAATAATAATCCCTACAAGGACCAAATTTGAATTCAAATTTGGATTCAAATTTGAATAACTGCAAGCGGATTAAATTTCTCTATTTTACACAGATTTTAATCAAAAAGATTTAGTATTATTGCTGCAGCACCGTGGTATATCTCTCACAGAGACTTAGAGAGAACGTTACACAGAAAGTACCGACTGTCTTTGAAAGAATCGAAACAAGAAGCTCAAGCCATCTTCAACATCTGTAAAAACATTCAAATCCTATAGCCATTAATCTATTAGATAATAGTGAAGAAATCAACATATTACACAGATTTCACAATACAAGACTCTTATACATTTACAAATAAGTCACAATATATATATATATATATATATATATATATATATATATATATATATATATATATATATATACATAACGAGAGAGAAGAAGAAAGAAGCAAAAGGATGCTCTTCGGGAGAAATTAGAAAGAAATAAAATTACAAAACGCCGTAAGGCAGGGGAGAAGCCGCAGCTGAGCATGGAATGCGAGTGACCCCAGGAAGGCCTTTGCCTCACCCCGCCGGGCGCCGGGCCTTCCCTCACACGCGACCTCGCACCGCACGGCCACGGCGGCGGCGGCGGCGGCGGCGGCGGCGGCGGCCTCTGGCAGCGATCGGCGGCCGCGGGGCGGGGGGCGGGGCAGAACCTCCTAACGGTGCCGCGCGGCGGCTATCTCGCCGATCGCCTCGCCCTCGCTGCGCCCGTGACTCAGGTGAGAACGCCGGGAATGCCGTAGCGGTACCGCCCACGCGCGCGGGCCTGCACTTGACGCCCGCCCGACTCGCCCGCTCGACGCACCGCGAAGCAGAAAGGCGCCACGGCGGCGACTCACGTGGTCTTCTATGCTACTCTGAACTACGTCAATTTACATTGACAATTTACATTAGTAAATGTGTTAACACTGATAGTTGACAATGACAATTTGAGGTTGAAAGTATACCAATGGTACATTTATTCGTTTTTTTCACCTCTAGATCAAAAATCCATTTTATTGCTTTTGGTTAAGAGTCAAATTTGAGGAACATATGACCTTCCTGGGGTCACTCACATTCCATGCTGAGCTGCGGCTTCTCTCCTGCCTTACGGCGTTTTGTAATTTTATTTCTTTCCTTTTTCTCCCAAAGGCGTCCTTTCTTTTGCTCGTTTCGTCTTCTCTCTCGTTTTTATAGCGCACATACCTCCACTCATCCCTTTTCCCTTCGTTTCTATTTCTTCCTAGATCAAACTCGCACTCCCACTCCCATCCCCCCTCTCTCTCTCTCTCTCTCTCTCTCTCTCTCTCTCTCTCTCTCTCTCTCTCTCTCTCTGTGTGTGTGTGTGTGTGTTTCTGTATCCGCATATCGTCTTCCTCTCTCATATATTTGAACATCGTTTCTCAGACAACATATTTTATACCTCCCCCTCCTCTCCTCTTCTCTTGCTCCTCATTCCGATTGTATCCCTCTCTCCCTCCCTCTCTTTTTTACTATATCCTCCAAAATCCTCATAAATACTTCGATTGAATCCGGGCAGACAAGATTTGTTTTCAATTGAAATTTACAAAAAGGAAAGTAAAATGTATAAATTACATCATAACATACATAAAATATATGTATAAACCGTTTCCTTTTCAAATGCCCCCATCCTTTTTTCTGATTCAGCTCTTGTTGCTTTCGAGGACGAGTTAATCTGTTTATAAATAAAATGTCGCGTACAGAAGTAACAACTACCCGACCGATTTCTTTGAATTTTTCACACTTTGGTTAGTTTCGTCAATATTTAAAGAGTGATTTCAAATAAATCGGTTACGTCTGGGCGTTGTTGTTGATGACGTCTTTCCCAATATACTCAAGCCCCCCTGAACAGAAGCGCTAGGCAAAAAGTCGTGCCGTTGTGTATTAAGCGCGTCTCTGGCTGCATATTCTGTCCCTGCGATTGTGAAATATCGGCCGGAATTTTAACATTCTATATTAATTAAACGTTATCTCGCACAAGTAAAACAAATTTCTCCCAAACAGTGTCGTTGCGAACGCATGCCCAAACATGAGAGAAAACGTTTTAACAATAGGATATTTGTCAACCATGTCCAAACCAGGACATAGACAAACTCATACTCACGAAAAAGTCTTTCATTTATTAGAAATTTGAAGAGCATAGCGTAAAACGTGACTAACAGTCACTCGACCAGTAGCGTGAGAAGTGTAATACACTGCAATAACCAAGCATTGCCGCTCCCGTTAGCAGTAAATAAAAAAAGATTCGGACCATTCCAGAAACAATAATCTGAAGGATGTCCCCCAAAGCGAAATGCAACTCTTCAATTTCCTTCCGCGGCTGCTAACTGCATCGTTTCACGACACCAAAGGAGCGCGAGCGTTTGTCGCAAAGAGTAAGGAAATTAAAACACAGTTTCCGCATGACGTTTCGCGAGAGCGCTGCCCTCGGGCGCTACAGAGGAGAGGGAATGCACATCCGAGGGCTCTCCTCGGCCCTCCGCTCCTCCCAAAGGAAAGCGCTCTCGCAGCCGCGCCTGGCGGACGGACGCACGAGGAGCAAAATAAAAGGGGTTGGGTGCACTGGCGGCTCGCGCCACTTGCCGCTTGTTGGCACTTCCACTAAACGTTTTTGCAATTTATATCTTTTCCTGTGGCATAAGTAATATAAGATATATAGAGTAATATAAGTAATAGATAAACCTTTGTGAATATTATGGATGTGAGCAAGTACCAAGCATGGTTCATTTTAATAGGATAAAGACTTTCAGAATGCCGTTTTGACCTCTCGAACGCTTCAAAAATATAAATAATGTCTACATTAAAATTTCTCAAAGAGAGGAATAAATATGAAGAAAATAATTTGAAATAGCTCTTTTGACCATTTTAGGAACAAAAGTCGGATTATTTTTTGAAAAGTCTAGATATATTAATATACTGATATGATAAGTGGATTGGAGTAAAGAATAATTTAAATGAAAAGTTACATATGTTTTTCTTCGTATCAAAAATAGAAGTTAGTGATGCCAGAAACGTACGGAACCTAGCTCGTACATCCGGATGACTCTTCTAGTTGCGCCTCGTGCACGCACGAGGAGGAAAATAGGTCGTTCTGTGCTTCTGCCGGTTTTGACATATTTGTGCTACAATAGTTTCCGCTATGTGTATATTGTTCAAGTCTCATGCATGGAAACTAGTACTTTTCCCAAGGTTTTACTTATTGTAAATAGGTACTTAAAAAATAGAATTTGGCGTAAGCATTCCGTAAAGAACGGTTGTTAGTAACAAACAACCGAGTCATGCAGACTAAATAAAACTATGGGGCGACAAGAATCAGTACAAGTGGCACCTAGGTTATTGAGAATGATCCCAAGAGTGTAACTGTATTTTTTTCAGAATTTGTACTGTAAAATATAATATACGCTATTTGTGTATTTGTCAGGGACTTTGGCGTATTTGTTTCAAAATGCCGGACTCTCCTCCGATCGTCGCCTCGTCCGCCAAT